TTAAAATGRYTTCATTCTTCAGCATTATTTTAGAAACCTTTACATTGTTGACAGTTTTGCATTACTTGGTTACTCTAGCAAAAACATAATAAAATTAATGCCCGAAGCTGCACCAGAGGTGCTACAGCTAGCTGCTATTTGCCATTTCCTAATAACTACAGAAATCCATCTATGTTAGTAACTATGTCCTATAATACTGAACTGACAATGACACAAAGGATTTACATGAAACATAATGAAATGTTGGTGACAGGAGTTGTTCTAAGCATTCTGCTGTGACTGAGGCTGCATTCAGACYAACAACCAGCTCAGTTTGTCCTTTCACATCTTTATTTYTCCAACCTGAGGTASTTCAATGAGCTATTTACAGCTATGAAGACATTATTACACCGAGCCTTTCCACAAAAAGGTAACCATTGTTAGTTATACAGACAAARTTTAGCTTTGTTTAGTGGTGCTTCAGCCACTAAACCCCAACTCAGTGCATCCTTAACAATTCTGGTTTTGTCTCATTTTAAATAAAAAAAAACATATTTATGCTAATCAMCTTTATTTTAAAATAAATCCCCTCAGAAGTAATTTATGTGCCCTCCATAAATCTCTTCAGTTAGAGTCATCATATTCTCACTAACATTACAGCACTTTTGTTAATCTTTTTCAAATAATTTATACTCATCTACAACATTTTTGTCCAGTCAAAGCCGAAGCATAAAGCCCTCAGGCACTGTGATTAATGAGGGCACTTTCAGAGCAAATGTAAAAAAATGGAAATCAATCTTTTTTTTTTTTAATAAAATTTCACCGGATGAGTTAAAATGACATCCAAGAGCAGGAAAAGAGTCGTCAACTTAGAACATATATTTTCCACCAATGGTTGAAATGCTTTAGTGAATTTTCTTAATGTTTTAGTAGACACTACACTTTAATTAAATGAACATACTAATGTTAAAAAACAAAGATGAAGTGCATAATCATTGAGAATCAAGCTTTCTAATAACTGTCTCTGATTGGTGGCAATCTGCTTGGCTGGATGGATCAGAGCAAATTTCCATGTAAACGTTTAAGCCAACAGAGTTACATTAGACGTTTGAAGACTGTGTGGTAAATACAACCTTTTGCTATTATATCCAGAGTATTCTTTTACAGAGCGACACAGAAAGGTTTATGTACAATGTCTCTCTGCAGTGAGGTCAGAGGATCAGTGGACACGGCCTCGCAAATCTGGCCCAAATTACACGCCTGCTGCCACCAGAAGTCTGAGGGAATTCCGGATAGGAAGCTGTGAGAAATCCTCGTCGACCCTTAAACAAAAACTCTCAGGAGGATTTCTCTGGAACGCCTCCCTGAGCGGAACAAATGGGTGAGCTGGCTAACCAGATATCACTTCTGAGTTTGCATTTTTAATGTGGACAAATGCAAGGAGATCCACAATAAGCTGCAGCTAGATCTGCAGGTTTTCCAACAACAGACTACTTTGTCTAGTTTAAGCAGATTGTACGATTGCACCACATTGTAACATCTTAAATTAAAAAATGCACTGATACTCGGGGGTGGGATGAAAACAGAATACTCTAGTTGGACCCGCTCTGGTTAGTCATGTTGAAATTTAAAACCTGTTGGAGARCAATCCCAAGTTCCAGAACGTCTTGTTTTTTCACAGTCACACAATCTGTTGTAATCTTTGTAGTGTCACTGAGAACATGTAAGACCCATCCACACCGCAGCCGATTTCTGCTGTTTGCAGTTTGTCCACACAAACAGAATAGTTGATGAGAAAAAAACTGACACTTTTAAAAACTCTTTCCAAAGTGGAGATGTTTGAAAAGTGTTTGGTTCCAACAGATACATTTTTGAAATTTATTAGATAGAAAGTATTTCAGAAACTTTGACACAGCATCATACATACCCATAACTATGTTATGAACTATAAACAACAATGGAGTCATTTTTGCATTTTCCTCCCCATGTGTCTCACTTCATCCTGATCCTACCACCATCACACTGGCAGCACAGTGGATTAGTGTTTAGCACCGTTGCCTCACAGCAAGATCCAAGGTTCAGAGTTGGGTCTTTTTGTGTGAAGCTTGAATGTTCTGGGTTTTCTCCCAGTACTCAGGTTTCCTCCCACAGTTCAAAACAAGTATTTTAGACTGTCTTCAGTCCCAGACTTGCCTTAAAAAAAGTCTGGTTAAATACAAGTTTATGAAGACGTAGTGTCATGAAACGGTTAATAACTGAGAGATGATGGTAAACAGTACCACAGAAAAAACTAAAAAAGCTTCAAAAGAATCTTTAGCTGATTATTCACCATAAAGTGGACATTCTCATTCCAGGAGATCACTCCTGAAACCAGTTAACAGGACTTCAGTAGTTTTGTTACAATAATGTAGACAGAAGAATTTTCATAACTTAAAAGAAAAAAATATTATCACAAAATATCTGGAATACAGATATTCCAGATGTTTCATCAACTCTTCTGTTTGTGTGGACAAACTGCAAACACAGCAGAGGTTTTAAAGACTTGAAAAAACTCACTTAAGAAATCAATGCGATTTAATAGCAATGCAAACCTGATACTGGAAACTTAGAGTAGTTTTTTATTATTGTTTGAATTTCTTTTGATGTAAAAAGGTGCAGATATAAGATTTTTTCTTCCTTCTGC